AAAACCAAAACACAAGAAAGAAAAGCTTGTAGTTAGTTCAAGGACTATTTGTTGGCCTTTAGGAGTGTTTTCCAGTCCAGTCTGTTGGGGCATCACGCCCTGGCCCCAAAGTCCACTTTAGGCATTCCCTGGGGACCTCGCTGCTCCTTTCCCCTTGCTGTTCTGTTGCACCCCCTTAGTGTTTTGCCTCAGTGTGGTGGGATCAGATCGGGCACAATTCCCACGCTGTGTCTCCAGTGTTGTCCCCTGTAGGGCTATGGGTCAGTGAGAGACGTCATGCCTCATAATGGGCCCGGCCATGTGGTCCTTTCTGTGGACTGGCTGCTCTGAATGGGAACATCATCCTCAAGGCCTGGTGAGCAAGGATGTGCTCCACTCTCTCCTCCTCCCCCTTCATCTGCTCCTGTGTGCTCTGATCAGACATGTCCATGTCCCAGAGCTTCAGATTCAGTGCCATCTCTGAAATAAATTCTTCTGGGGGGAAGGGCAGGTGTCCACGTAGTTGGGACTGGGGCCGGCAGCTCAGACCTCTCCACTGGTTCCCTACTCCCCACCTGCATGTTGCTTTCACATCTTGCAGCACTGGGTTGAAGTCTGGTCCCTCTTTCCCTGTGGAGATATAAACAATACCCTCCCCTTGGGTGGCTTAGTGCCCTGTGCCCCCACCACACATTTCTCTCTTTTTCTTTTTCTTTTTCCCTTTCCCCACCTCCTTTTTAGATGGCTACCATATGTATCCCTGGATTTGGTCTGGTCCCTGCCATACTACCTGGTCCTCACCCCAGGAATGTTTGTATAGAGTAGTTTTTTCCATATGCCCCTTTTGCATTTTTTTTTTAAGCTTGCCTCAGTCGACTCATGTTGTACTTGTCCTTTTGTGCTTGGTTTACTTCACTTATCATGATTTCCTCCAGTTCTTCCCATGCAGCGATGTGCTTCATACGTTCATCACTGCTTTTTAGCGATGCGTAGTACTCCATTGTAAGTATGTACCACAGCTTGTTAATCCACTCGTCAGTTGATGGAAATTTGGGTTGTTTCCAACTCCTTGCAATTGTGATCTGTGCCGCAATGAACATTGGAGCACAGATGTCTGGCCTCAGTTTGTTTCTTACCACTTCTAGGTATATGGCCAGTAGGGGGATTGCTCGGTTGTATGGTAACTCGATTTCCATCTGTTTTAGATATCACCAGATAGATTTCCATAGTGGCTTTACGTACTTACAGGTCCACCAGCAGTGGATGAGAGTTCCTGTGTCCCCACAGCCCTTCCAAAACTTGTTGCTTTCTGATATTTTGAATTGGGCTATATTTGAAGGTGTTAGGTGGTACCTCATT